CAGCGCAACGTTCTGCTTCTTTCCATCTTTTCTGCAGAAATTCTGCTCATTCAACTCTTTTCAGCAGAATTTTCAGAATTTTCACCTCTTTTCAGCCCAAATTCTGCTTATTCACCTCTTCTGCAAAATTTTCAGCCTTTTCACCTCTTATCTGCACAAATCTCAGCTTTTTTCAGAAAAAAAACTCTTTTGAGCAGAAGTTCTGCTGATTCATCTCTTTTCAGCGCAACTTTCTGCTTCTTTACCTCTTTTCAGCAGAAATTCTGCTGATTCACCTCTTTTCTGCAAAATTTTCAGCCTTTTCACCTCTTATCAGCACAATTCTCAGCAGCTTCTGCTCATTTCAGCAGAATTGTCAGTCTGTCCACCTATTCTTTGTGAGAATGAGCGTGGCTTAGTGAGATGAGTCGCTGCCTTGAGACAAGGAGGGCCAGGTTCCAATCCTGTTTTTTCAGCTGGCAACTTCAGCGTTAAGGCATCCACACAGCATTTTCGCAGGAAATGCAAATTTTTCTAGTTTCAGTTGTATTACTGATAGTCATGGTTCAATGAATAGTATTAGCCATATGAGTAAGCAACTGGGTGGCAATGAGACAGTACAAGAAGGTGTAATAAGCAGTTTTAAAAGTAATATTACCAATAAAAACAATCTACAAGGTGCTAAGAGTAACAGTAGGAAGTCCAGTTCATGCAGTGGTATAATGCTATGTTTTTTGTAAGTTAAGTAGTTATACTAGGAAGTGCTTATCCCTGAGTCTGGTTCTCCTGGAGGTTTCTTCCTGTTAGGAGAAGAGAGTTCTTCCTGCCAAATGCTTAGTTGCTGGGGTTTCTTCTCCATCACTGTAGGGCCCTAACCTTACAATAAAAAGCACCTCAAGTGAACTGTTCTGGTAATTTGGTGCTATATAAATACAACTGAATTAAATTGTATTGAATAGTATAAAGTTGATAGCGATATTACAATTTGACTATTAGATAGTAGTAACTCATTTTATAAGTAGTATAACCTGTACAAAGTGTCTATTAGATGGAAGTAGCAAAAGTAAAGGGCTGCAAACACTACTACAACTAGTATGTGTACTTCTTGCAATGCTTCTATTTGGACTTTTTACTTTTTACCACATATTAATACTACTACCTTTATGTTGTGACAAAAATCGTTAATAAATTTTAACAGTACAACTAGTTCTGCACATGCATCAGTACATTTAGTGGTTTTATATATAGAAACAGTACTCTGGTAGAAGTAGTACTAGTACAAGAACTACTGAGTGTAGCACTGATGCAGGTAGTAGATCTTGTAGTAGTGGATATGTTGCCCACACCCCACCAGGTGTGGTTCTGAACCTCACTAGCATATTCTAGTATGTTATGTATTGAAGGGTGTCATTGAGCTGGCTGTTGACCATTGAACGGTTGGAATATGGCGTGCATGTGGTCGGCTACTCAACGTTTGGCGGTAAAGTTGCATCAGTACAATCAGTTCTCATCTTCTAGGCGTCAGTTAATGTTGCTGCTTCACAGCCTCTGGAATGCCATATTTAGGCACAAGTTGTCCTTGGGCCGTATTTAAGGGCTTATGGCATTGGCAAGACGGGGATGTCATTCCAACTCGCCAACTTTACCAATAAGCATGGTTTCTGCTGCAAAGGGATCAAGCCCAGTGGGTGAAAATGAAAAAACCAAAGTGAGTAAAAACAAATCCATTGAGATGGTGGGGGGAAAGCCAAACAATGCACAAAACACAAAAAAGGTCAGTGGGACGTTAATTGAGTGTATTGACTAAAAGAAATTTTAAATCCAATTCACTTCCATTCAACTAAAGATGAACTGCACCTGTCTGTCACTCAGTAACCACATGTGTGATTATGGGTTTATTGCTTATATTGTTTAAACAAATAAGAGAAGGACAGAAGAAACAGTTGAAAATCTAACACATGTAAGAGTAATGATAATACTGTGAGCATAATCTAAATAGAGGGTAGTGAACAGCACAGTGCTAATGCAAGTACTGCCTTCCATGTGTTGTATATGACTTCTGTTTGGACTGTTATCTAAAGTGTAGCAACAGAAGGAAACGTTTTATCTACAGGTAAGTCAAAAGCCAGACCATAAACTGTACTGTTCTCAGTCAGCATTAATAATAAACTTAAAACCCGAGCAGTAGAAGATTATACACCACACACACACACACACACA